GCTTTACACTCTCTAAACATCTGTCTTCTTCTTTTTTGTTTACTTTACAAATTCTCATAGAGAATACAGGGCGTGTGAGAGACGAATGCGGAGAAAGGTCATATTGAACTATCGCGTCGCCCATCTGCCCATTGAGACAATGTAGAAATCAGAGAGACACCCAAAGAAAGAGAGTAGAACAAAAGCGCCGCGACAGATGGTTTCGAAAATTTTAGTCTAGGACATGAGCTAAATTTCAGTTTTTAAGTTACGACCTATAATTTCAATTTTTGAGTCATGACTGAGATTTCTATTTTTGAGTCATGACCTAAATTTCAATTTCTGGGTCATAACCTAGATTTCAATTTCTTGGTCATGACCTAGATTTCTATTTTTAAGTTTTTGAGTCTCCGATTTTCCAAAAATCTGCATTTCCGAAATCTCAAATTTTTAAAGGTGGGAGGACAGGAGATTTTTCGTAGGATTTTTGGTAGCTAGGGTATGCATTCTACCGTCACGGTGTACAACGCTTAATGTCACTCTGCGTACAGCTGTCGTCCTCGCCTTTATGTATGCAATCAGGCGGCATCTTTCTCTTTGCCCGCGTGGCTCAGTCGGTAGAGGCGCCGCACCCTCAATCATCGCCCCCACAAGTTCAACTTCTGAGGGGCATATTTAAAAGGAATTTCGAGAACATTATTTTTTTCATGTCTCCCCACCTTTAAGATCCTAATGATAAGTTTCTGAACTAGGATAATTCAAATCCATCTTTTTCTTGTCACCTTTCTAATGTAAGTTTTCGAATCATTCCCAGAGACTCACGCGTACACACACTCCCGCTTGTCTAATAAGAAAATCACGAAAAGATAATTATCTCCTACTTTTCAGTGTTTCTGTGTGTGAGTGTCTCTAGTACTGGACACCAGGAGCTCATTTCAAAAAAAAAATTTTTTTGATTGCGGGGGAGCCGAATACGACGGTCACAAAATCCTGTATCGAGGAGTGTAGCCGCGGCGGCCGGCACCAAGAGAGACGCAGACACGCACACACACAAAACATAGCGGGCGGCGGAACCCGGGAGGTGTCGGTACATGGTGAAACGTACAAGCGCGCCGCACGCTTCTCCTGTTAGCTTCCCTGTTAATCAAGATAATCATTGATTTCGACCTTTCACAGTAGAGTGTTGAATACAACGGGCGTGTTGTAGAATGTGAAGTACAGTGCTCCACAAAATGATGCTTCCACCCTTCGCTTGCACTGAAATACCTATTTAGGTCAATGTTCGTGAAAAGGTGTCAACATGAAAAATAAAGGTCTCCCTTCGAAACCTACGTACGAAAGTTTGGACCCATCACCGTGACCCGGAAACGAAAAACCGGAAAAATTCCGAAAATCACGTTTTGGCCGATCTTACACTCATTTACTCCTGTA